TTATTTATGGGTTTTATAAAGACGAAATCTAACCAACCTCTTTCACTCTCACTAAGGTCGAGTGCGAACCTTAAGCACTCTCATCCGAGGTCGAGTCCGAACCTCGTTACAATTATGAGGTCAAGTACGAACCTTAACACTCTTATCCGAGGTCGAGTCCGAACCTCGTTAAAATTATGAGGTCGAGTACGAACCTTAACACTCTTATCCGAGGTCGAGTTTGAACCTCATGAAGCACATATTACTCTAAATCCAAGGACGAGTTCGGACCTTGGTGAAATGCATAAATTCGAAGACGAGTGCGAACCACTTATCCAAGGACGAGTTCAAACCTTTACAACGTGCTACGTAACAAACATATAAGGTCGAATCCGAACCTTAGCGCAATTCACTCTACTTCAATTTGAGGTCGACTTTGAACCTCAGCGCTAATAAATTAAGGTCAAACTCGAACCTTCACGGAAACACTCACTTAACGAAAAATCGAGGTCGAGTACGCACCTTGACAAAACTCATTTTACTCCAAATCAAGGTCGAGTACGAACCTCAATACGCTCACCCGAGGTCGAGTACGAACCTCGGCAAAATTCGTTTTACTCCAAATCGAGGTCGAGTACGAACCTCAATACGCTCACCCAAGGTCGAGTACGAACCTCGGCAAAATTCGTTTTACTCCAAATTGAGGTCGAGTACGAACCTCAATACGCTAACCCGAGGTCGAGCACGAACCTCGGCAAAACTCGTTTTACTCCAAATCGAGGTCGAGTACGAACCTCAATACGCTCACCCGAGGTCGAGTACGAACCTCGGCAAAATTCGTTTTACTCCAAATCGAGGTCGAGTACGAACCTCAATACGCTCACCCGAGGTCGAGTACGAACCTCGGCAAAATTCGTTTTACTCCAAATTGAGGTCGAGTACGAACCTCAATATGCTAACCCGAGGTCGAGTACGAACCTCGGCAAAACTCGTTTTACTCCAAATCGAGGTCGAGTACAAACCTTGACAAAACTCGTTTTACTCCAGATTGAGGACGAGTACGAACCTCGATGCATTTATTCGGGGTCGAATCCGAACCTTGATGAAATTCATTTTACACAAAAATGGAGGTCGAGTACGAACCCCGATACAATTCATTTTACGCAAACTCGAGGTCAAGTTCGAACCTTAGGACGTCCATCTGAGGTCGAATTCGAACCCTTAATACAGTCTATCCTACTCTAAAAACAAGATTGAGCCTGATAAGACAGAAAAATAATCAAAGTAAGGAAAATTGAATCTCGAAGAACAATATATATACAAAATACTTGCAGAGTTTGACACTTGAGTTCAAAGGAAAATACTAAACAAAGAAATAAAAAAGGGAGAAATAAACTAAGCTATTACAAAGGCGGCCTAGGCTGAGGCATTCTCACTAGAACTGTCATCGACATCGTCCTCCTTGACCAGCCTCCCAAAGCGGACAACCTTCTCCACATGCATGGAGGAAAAGTCGAACCCGGGAGCAAGGAGTCGTGCCTGACGAGCAGCCTTCTGGAAGCCCCTCCTTCTCCACATGCATGGAGGAAAAGTCGAGCCCGGGAGCAAGGAGCCATGCCTGACGAGCAGCCTTTTGGAAGCCCCTCTTGTGCTCCATCACAACGGAGCGTTCAACCTCCGCAAGCCTCCCTTCCACGGCCGCCTTCCCCGCCACCAGCTCCGCCCTCAAGGTGGCAATCTCGTCCTCCCGGCCACTAAGAATGACCTCGCTACGAAGGCGCTCCTCAGCAACCATCGCCAACTCTCCTTTGAGAGAAGTCACGACATCCTCCAGAGCCCGCACTTGGCCACGGAAAGACGTCACCTCATCCTCCAAAGAGCGGGCGTGATCCCGAGAGAAGGCGACGAGCTCCTGCAGCTCCCCCACCTGGGAGGCATAAGCCTCGTTGGATCGCAAGGCGATCTTAAGAGACTTCTGCACCCTTGCAAGGTCGCCCCTCGCAGATCGAAGCTCGGCCTCCCGCAGCTTCGCCTTACCAAGGGCAGCACTAAGAACCTTGTTCTCCTCCCTCAGGATCTTATTAGCATCCTTCCAGGGTTGAATTCGGCCCCTCAGCTTGGCCAAATCCTCTTGCTGCTTGGCCCACCTATGCTTCCAGTGGCCCATGATGGTCGTAGCCCTCTGCTAAAGGACCTGAGTCGCGTCAAAGCTCTCAACAGGCCCTACCCCTTCGATCATTTCTTGGTCCTCAGCGCTCAACAAGCCTATGGGGAAGAATTTCTCGACGGTCACCCCCGCACTCCATAACGAGTCCATGTCAGCCGAGGCGCTAACATGGTCCAACCTCACGTCAGAGCGACCCTTCCCGAAGCGATGAGCGAGGTATCGGCTTCGGGAAACCCCCTGGGACGAACCAGGTGAAGGAGCAGACATGACAGGCTTTGTCGTCGGGACCTCAAAACTTGGCTCCTTGCCACGAGCCTCGGCAGAGGCAAAAGCCGGCGTCCCCTGCTCGTCAACTGGAGGGTCGGCGATAGGAGTATCCGACCTCGCCTTTAAAAACCAGCACCATGTCAAAAAAGGAAAAGGACAACATACGGGGAATCACAAAAAGCAGGGTACACTACCTACCTCAGCAGCGTGGGAAGCCTGCTCGGTGGTTGGGGTCGCCACCTCGGCAACCCGGGCGGCCTGCTCAGCAGTCTGAGTCGCCGCCTCGGCAGCCTCTCCTGCCTACAGAAGACAACCCTAGGTCAGAAAACAGAGAAAGCACAATAGAAGACAACAAAAATACGAAGAGACAAGGCACTCACCACCTCGGTAGGTTGAACAAACTGCTTAGCAGCCTGAGCTATCCCCTCAACGGCCACCTGAGGAGCCCCCATGGGCGGCGAACTCTCAGTAAGGTCCACCGTGCCAGCGTCGGCAGCTTTAGAGGTTACCTCCTCGGCATCCGGAGGGGCGGAGGGCCCCCCAACCTCCTTCATTCCCCCCTTTCTTTTTCGATTAACCCTCAGGGGGGAAGCATCCTCCTCTTGGGGCTCGGGGACCTCGAGCTCGGTGACGTAGTAGCGATGCTTAAGCTCGCACCACAAGTTCTTCCCCATGAAACCTAGAAGGTCGGGGGCACCAATAGAAGGGAAATCTCGGCAACCCCCCGAAATAAAACGCCCCATCTTCCAAGGGGTCAACGTTCACAAGAGCGACTCGGAAAAACTCTTGTTTGAAAACGACTGGGAATAGAGAGTAAACAAACCCCGATCCCTACTCCCACTCAGAGATAATATGCCGTATGGCGGAACGCCTACCTTCAACTGATAAAAATGAAGGAAGACGGGAAGAGACACCTCTATCCCCAAAACTGTACACAGGACTTGAAAAGCCCTCAAAAAATCCCAACTATTGGGGTGCAACTGGCAAGGAGCCGAGTTGACGAAGTTCAAAAAATCACACTCAAACTGAGTGAAGGGAAGACAGACACCTAAATCTCTAAAAAAATAATGATACATATAGAAATGGGGAGGGTCGGTAGACTTCCCCATGTACACACCCTCACCGGCCTGACAAGGTTCAAGCCAGATCGTCCAGGAAATAGAAGGGTCACAAACCCTGCACGACCGCGGGATCCTGTTAACCTCAAGAAAGGACCGAAAAACGCTCTAGACCCCCGCCATCTCACGCTTGACCCAGTCGTAGCCAGGGATGCCTGGATCCGGCCCCGGGGCAGAGGCGGATCCCTCTTCTCGGCGACGGCTCTCCCAGTAGCCACCGCCTTCCCGCGCGCCTTGCCCCTGGCAGGCATAGAAGAGCCGACACCACTCCCACCAGCCATTAAAGAAAGAGAAGACCTGAGGAAAAGAAAAAAGAGAACTGTAGAAAGGAAGTACCTGGTACTCCTCCTCAGAAATTAACCCTAGTAGTGACGGGGTTACCAAAAAAGGAGACGGAAAGCGAACGGAAACGAGAAGGCAAGGAACGAGTAGGCAAAGAGGACTATCGTACTCAAGAAGCCAAAGAGAGGAAGGAAGCAGAGTGAATGAGGAGAGACGCGGGAGAGAAAGAGAAAAGGGATATTTCCCCAAATTTCAAAACGGCCATGCCTCGTGTCAACCTGAGGACACAAAGACAACACATTAATTGCAAGACCATCATTGCATAACCGTCATTTCCCTTAACGCGCCACCTGCACGTTTTCAGAAAATGAACAGTTACGACACATGGCATCTCAACAGGAAGACGTACGCGAAAGGTCACTTCCCCCCAGCGAGCTCGGTCTTAACTCCTCGACCTACGGTCTTCGGAGCTCGGGGGGCTAGTGTACTGTCCATACTGCGAAGCCGAGCTCCGAACTCGGCATCACAGCACAAGATGAGGTCGGGCACGCGCTACGCGACGTTAGCCCGGCATTTAAGCAGATCATAACTGATCTCGAGGGATCTCGCTTCGGACGAGATCCACTATCTAATCTTATCATATCTCATCTCAGGCCCAAGGCCCAAAGCAACCCTAAATCACACTAAGGTACGTGCATTACTTATACAAGATTCATACTCCCACAAACACTAACTTTAGCATCGGAGTCTCTTTTGCAGATACCACCCCCATCTTGGAGCACAAGCGTACCAGCGAAGGAGGCTCACCGATCTTACCTGGCAGATCAGCTCTACGGCAGATTTCCGATAAGAACAGGTCGTAAAATCTTTTTTAACAACTACTACATATTTCATATTCTCATTATTTGTGAGCATGGGCCATGATAATAATGACCAACAAATTTTTAAATTATTGGCAAGACATATGAGCCTTTTGTTTTCCTACACTAGTTCCTACTTATAAAACTCCATGTTTTATTACTCTTAATATTAGGATAAATCTTAGACAAATGAAAACAATGTAGTTACCACTTAGTTACTAAATCTTAATAATAGTAAAATTTGTATCATTTTCTACTGTCTTTTATTCAATAAAAAGTTCATTTTGGTGCAAAAATAAACAAATGTTGAGACAAAAAAGGGAACAACATAGCAGTCTAATTTTATTATTCATGAGAAAGACAAGGCACATGTGGAATACATGAAGCGCATACCCCTTTTACATTTTTGCAGGATGCATACGTTTTCTCTCCAGTAATGGTAGTTATGTTAATACCATTCAATACAATGTTGGTGCAACCTATAGTTTTGTCGCAATGTAGTTTGATTGCATGCTTGGAACTTGAGGTTCCCTTCACATTGTGGTAACTAACATCACTCACTCTCACTGCATGTACACTATCATATGGGTTGTATTGTTGGTCAATAATCACAGGGTTCGTAGCTTCCATAAGTATGATATCCTTAAAGGTGATCTTCCTCGCATACCCTTGACCTCCCTAATTTAAAGAATACAAAACATGAAAGTTTTTATGTAATCTCATTTGTATTAGTGTAACATATATTGTAGTTCAAAACTAACTAGAGCCAATTCTTACTATCCATGTTTTGATTCTAGCTCCATTTGTTGTTCTATTGAAGGTGCAATTTCGTACATATATCTCTTCTACTGTTTGATGAGCTCCATTTTTTCCTAAGCTCCCAATACTGCATATTCACGAAGGAATTTCAAATAGTTTCAATATATTGAACATATAACTTAAATTAATGTAAAAAAAAATTGCTTGAACTTACCTGATGCCATGACCAGGTCCACAAAAAACACCAATTATGCTAATGAAGTTGGATCCATGATTAATGGCAATGCAATCATCACCTTCAATAAAAAATAATTAAAAGATGCAAAACTCTCATTAATCAATTTCATTTTTTATTCTATGATCAAGTATGTACTAATTAATTTATAATGATAACATAAGACATAGGGAATGGATCCATACATTGCATGTCTTGTTTAAATTTCATATCATTGTTCTACTTTTGTAACATTTACATAGAGATAGACACAATTATAAGTTTTAACTTTTGTGACTTTTGAATAACATGTTAACATCTATTATGAACATAAATATTTTATTCATACAATAAAATAATACAACTTATTTAGCATTTCTTTTTCCTCCATTATTCTACATGAGATCATCCATCAATCTCATGAACTTGTATCTTTTTTTTCTTTTTATATTTTTTATTTTAAAAAACGTACAAATTAGTTGTAAAAATATAGTTTCTCATTTTAAAAGGTATCAAAGATATTCTTTTTCATTTTTTACAAGATAACTATCAAGAATTTTGTTTTCCTTTTTTCAATTCAAGGGAGGGTTAATCACTCAAGTTAGGAATTAAAGTGCTACACAGTCTCAATATTGATCATTTACAGAGAAGAAAAAGGAGTTGTGGAATTGAAGATTGACACTTTATATGATTTACCAGTTTCCATCTTAGAATTCTTTACAACAATGTTGGATGATCTTGAGATATCAATCCCATCAGTGTTTGGGCTTTCATCTGGCGCAATAATATGAAGTTTGGAGATGAGTGAGCCATTGCAATTATTTATGCTTATATGATTTTTAGGGCTATTGATGTGAGTCAATCCTTTAAGGATTAGATTATTGCATTCTCGAAAATGTAGAGCCTGCACATGAGAATTTACTCAAAAATTGAATTTAAAGCTTTGAATTAGAATATCCATTTTTCAAGTATTTCAATCATGTATGTTGTTCAACTTACAGTTGGCCTATTAATTTCACTATCGGCATAGCGATTCCACCATGGAGCACCTTGGCCATCAATTTGTCCCCCTCCATGGATATTTAGACCAGTTATGTGTCGAAAACGAATCCATGCCTTCCTTGTACTTTTTGGCAATTTCCAAGCCTTTGTGTTGTTTGGGGCAACGATAGTTCCCTTAAGCTATAAACCAAATCATAAATCAAATTAATATGAAGAGGGCTAGCAACACACTATCTTATCAAGAATGGATATAGTCAAGAGACATTTTTATTAAATGAGATCTTAGTCATTCAAAGAATATTAAATATAATTTTTTTATTATAAAATGGAGTTTAAAAAATTTTAATAGTGAGCTTTTAACACTTGATAATTTCAAGTTTTTTTTTTCACTTGAGAGAATATATTTTCCCCTCTAACATACTTCTCTTATCACTATATCTTCTTTATTAGTTAAAATTCATATAAAAATACAAAAACAATAAAGAAAATTAAATAGAATATGAGGTCCACCATTTTTTTTTTTGTGATTTTGACTATATTTTAACTAATTAAAAAATATGTTTAAGAATGTGTTAAAAATTGTGTTTCTAACATTTCTTTTCAAATATTATAGTCAAGTGAAACAAGTAACACAATATTGTTCATTAAGAGAATAAATTATGCCATTATATGGCTGGAAATCCAAAATGATTATAACAATCTCTGATATTTCTTGGATATTGCCAATTTGTATACTTTATGGAGACATTTGGTATATGATAAACTTTTAGTTTCATAGGAATATGAAATTGGCATATTATTTTTATGCAAGGTTCCCACAAAATTACTGTTATGGGAAGTTAGGAATCTTAACTTTCCTATGTTAAAAGAATATTTTTATTGTAGTGAGAATAGCAATTACCTTTATTCACTAATTTAATGTTGTAAAAATCTTTGGTTCTCAAATAATAAAGTAGCTGTGATTATATAAAATAGTTTGTGATTTAGGTCTACATGGTAAATTTGTGGGTGAGTTCTTTGTTGACAATTTTAGCATGTTATTAGCACTATATATGTTTGATTATATTGGAGTTTTTTTTTCTCATTTTACCAACTTTGTTCAAAATAAAATCTAAGATATACAATTTAACAATGTTTTGCACTTTTATTTCATCAATTTAAGCCTTAAACATTACTTAAAGACCAAATATCGACTTAGTCCCTGAATTTGGAAGATATTATCATATTAATCTTTAAAACTAAAAACGTATCAAATAAATTTCTAGGATGTCAAATAAGTTCTTGAATTTAACTACTTGATATCATTTTGATCCTTGAATATATACAATATTATCACTTTAATTACTCAATTTTTTTTATAAGTTTTTAACTCATAAAATTATCAATTTACACTTTTAGTAACTTTGACATTTTTTAGTTTTAGATACTAATATAATATGGCCTTCCAAATTCAAGAAATAAAGTAAGTGTTTACTCATTACTTAAAAGACAAAAGACATGTATACATACACCAAGTAATTGATTTGATTTAATCTACTCGTTATAAATTAATTATAAATTAAAGTATATAATTTAAATTGTTATGACATTGCTACAGCCTATTTATTTGTATTTTTATTTCTTATTTTTATTTTTTATTTTCACCTTCTAATTACGGAATTGTTATTTATTTTAAATTTATCTTCTATTTTAAAATATTTGTATAGGAAACATTAAAAAATGATTTCTTGTACAAATCTTTAAAATAAGAAATAAATAGTAAATAAGGTGATATTTTGTATATAATTAAAAAGTAAAAATAAAATAAAATGTAAATATAAGTAAATAAACCCTTATCTTTTTCATTCTCTCAATTAATCAATTATTTGTATTCTTGTCTTGTTTGACTTTGATTTACATTTAATTTTTTGGTGAAATCTCATAGTATTCTTCATCTTATATAGGTCTTGGCTATCACACCTTGGAACTATATTAAGGGTCGAATAAGCTATAAGTTTAGGTCATTTAGACTAACTACAAGACTAAATCACTTTCACCCTCACAATTTACCCTTTCCTTATATTGACATGTTTTTATTTACCTTAATTTAATTTCAAATTATAAAAATAATAATAAAACTATTTAGTAGATTAAAAAATTTGTTGTCAATACACAACTTAAATTTAAACTTATCTAATATTATATTTATCATTTTTTAATTTATTTTTAAAATACTGTAAAGTAGCAAAATATTATTAAGATTGCAAAAATTTGAATTTTTTTTTATCTAATACCATTTTGTAACATCTATTTTTTGTAATTAAAAATAATAAAATTATTTTTATTAGGATCTATTTTGTGAAAAATGAAATGAAATGAGATAGGTTGGGTTGTGAAGGTGTGTTGATGGGTTAAGTCTAGGTTTTGACTCTAAAAGCTCAAATCACTATTTAGTTGTCAGAATAAAAAGAGAGAGGTTGAGAGTAACATGCTTCAATTTTGACATTTTGAGTTTTTGGTGTTTGAGAGGAACACTCTAAAGCAAGTTTTAGTAATATGTGTTATGTGTTATTGATTTTAATTGATTGAATTTATGATTTAGTGGATTGCATTTGTCTTTTTGTCTTTTTTTTTTGCTTGATTTGCGTTCATATGTGTTACATTGGGTATTTTTGAGTGTTTGATGATCTAAGAAATGTGTATTAATTGATGTTTTGCGAGAGAAAAAGACTAAATGATGATATAACTCGTGTTTAGAGTAATTCATGCGGATTTGTTGAGGTTTGATACATTTGGAATGGTTTAGGAGGGTTTGGAACCCGAGAAGTTGCAGAAACATGAAGGGGTATGTCATAAATTCACTTAAGCAAATTCAAGACAGTCTCTAGTAGAAATTTGGTTGACTGAATTAAAATTCACTTAAGCAAATTGAAGATGGTCAAATTAAGCTTTGTGATTTGGATAAGGTTTTCTATTTTGGATGTTAGCTAACCAATGAATTTGGAATCACTCAAAAAGAATGTTTAGAACTCAAAATTTGATCAAATTAGTGAGTAAGGGTCAAACTGTCATAATTAGACTTAAAGGTTTTTTTATTTTACTTTATAATTTTAGATGGATGATAAAACCAAAACTTGAGGTCAACATAAAAATTATAATATTTTTTCTTAACCTTCCAATGATATTGAGATCAATTCGATAAGATATATATAATTATAGATATAATGTTTACACCCCACGAAACTCATAGAAGTATTATATACGATTATAATATAAATAATGAGTAAGAGTTAAAAGTGTGAACATCTAAGTGTTATCTTTTTGTTACTATTTTTTTATGTTGGAAATGGAGTGAGCCACAATTGAGATTTAATAAACAAGTTATCGAAGAATCTATGAGAGTTTAAGGAGTGAAATATGAGTAATAATTAAGATAGCTAAAATTTATATATGAATAAGATGTGCCTTGAGTTTTCATGATTTGAGCTATTTATGCTTGAGTTAGTGATATGAGCTAAGTCTAAGTTATGCTTAGCAAGGTAAAATCCAAGTTGTGCTTGGTCATTCATGAAGTTTAGACACATGTCTCGTAATGCTAAAGTTTAGGCATTGCTTAGTATGCATATCATGCATCTTTCGTTTGGATGTATTGGTTTACAAATTCAATCCAGATGATCTCTATGGTTTTTTTCATATTGGCCTTGGGAGTTTTACTAGAAGGAAGAAACTTATCAACGCGTGTAATAAGGAGTGACCATGTACAATTATGGGATCTTGACTACCTAGGTTAGATCTTCGTCTTAATGAGAGTGGATGTATTATTTACCCATTATGTGGTAACCTGTCTTTCCATGTACTCTTAGACTACCTCATATTTGTGCACCTTGTACAGAGAGATCATGGTACCACATGCATATAGAATTAAGTGCATGTGGGCTCATGTCAAGTCTCTTATATGGTGTATGCATACAAGTTTGTGTTATGTGTAATTGTATTTTAGTATCTATATGACATCTTTGTATGAGCTTAAAAAATGCGTGAGACATATTCTCACTCCTCTATTTTCATGTTATAGTTCTGTGTTTAGATTGAATGCTATTTTCAGGTGTATATTAGATAGTTGACTAAGAATCTATATGAAATAAAGCTTAGACTTATTTATTTTGATGAGATTACTATAATTAGTTATGATAATGAGATTAAAAAAAAGTATTTATTTATCAATTTATGTTCATCTTATTATAGACTTATTAGTTAGAGTTTTATTATATTTTTACATCAATTTTAGAGAATTTTATAAAGACTTGTTTATTTATTTCAGACTTTACTCAAGTTTTTATATAATGTTAAACACAGATAATCTCTTCCATCTAAGTTTCTTACAGTAGAAATATATTTAACTGTCATATTGTATTATATAATCAGAAATATGTCTCTTGAGGTAGTTGAGTGCCATACCATTTGTACAAATTTTAATTTTATATTAAATTATAATAAAAAATAATTAATGGATTAAAAACCTCATCTGATGCTTTTATTCGAATTATAAAGTACACCATTTATTCATATTTTTATACTTTCCTTAAAAGTATTAATAAAAATATTAGTTATTAAATACTATTTACCTTAATGTTAACGATTGAGGGCTTGCAAGGACCACGAAACAGCACAGGTTGCAACATGAAAGTTTTCCCTTTGGGTATGACAAGTGTCGAGGTGCCATGACTTGCATCACATGTGTCCTTCCATGCTTTCAGAAAAGCCTTTACAAAAATACAAATTACCAAACAAATAGTAGTAGTTTAAAATGATATTAAATAACAGAAAAATTATATTCCTTATTTTATTCATATTTTAGCAACTCCAAATTTTTTTGTCAAATTAAATTTAACATTTTTCGGTTAATTAAACATGAATATAATACTAATCATAAATAACAAGCGAATATCTCATTTGGGGAAAAATGCGTTTTCAAGATGCATGTCTTTGAATACCAAGTGAAAGACAATTTTATTCATTAGAAAAATTGAATTTTCAAAATCCGTGTCCTTAAACATCAATTACACGCCACACATAAAAAATAAAATGTAATGTGATATATCAACATTAGTTTAGCCTTTTTTCTTTTACATCACCATTAGTTTTACTAGTTACATATCCGAGAACAATAATAGCTAAGGAAGCAACTATAAGACGAAAAAAATTACAAGTGTCACATAGATTATAATATAATAAAAAATATATAAGTGGGAGAACCACTTTTGTTTTATAAATCATTTTTTAGGGTTAAATTAAATTATAATCTACTCACTAAGATGATATTATGTACAATTATCTAGATCTACTCTAAAAAGCTCATCAATCATTATTATACACAGTTAAGTCCTAGTTTTAAATATGATATATAAATAGAAGATAATTCTCATCTTAAAAATTGATTTTATAAGATTAAATTAAATTTTAATCAAGAATTCTAAAATTGATTTGAAGCTTAAAATATGAAAATAAGAAAAGATTCTGATTTATTATTATTTTTTATAATGATAACTATAAATTAAAACTTAAGATTTTGTATTAATTATTTAAATTATTACCATTAGATTGATTTTTTTTATAAAAAAATTATGTGTGCGTACTGTACATATGGGGAGGTGTGTCCGTAGTTGCATTTGTTTTTGTCGTGCCCCAACCCTAAAAGTTAAAGATTAATATATATATATTTATGAAGTATAATTTTTTATTAATTAAACATTATGTTAACCCTATCAACTCCATCGTGTTGGAGGAGAGAGCTTACATGACATAGGGTTAAGAGATTGATTTGCATGTATGTATGAGAAAAAGAAAAGTAATAAACATACTTGGGAATCATCAGTTTGACCATTGCCCTTGGCACCATAGTCAATAACATTGAAGCTAGGAGCTGCATCAAACTCCATTCTCACGCATGTCGAAGCAATTGCAAACATTCCCAGGAGAACAAATAGGAATTTCATATTCCAAATCAATTGCAACTATTTTCTTTAAAAAAAAACAAAAAAACAAACAAATAACGCAGACTAACAAATCTAACTATACTCGAGATAGAGCAAGCGTAATATGCAAAGTGAAGATGTTATTTTATAGACTGTAGAATTAATAATATATCACCATGGAGGAAAACTGTAAATATATAATGGCATTCACCATCCATGGGAGATTCCGCCACAAAACTTACTGTTAAAACAATATTATTTTAAGAATAAATAATATATGAATTGATAGCTAGCGTAAAACTTTTATTAAATTTGATTCATACTAATTTGCATCCCTTAATTAAATTATTTAAGATTCAAATATCGACCTTGATATAGAATTAATAAATTATAAAATATATTGAAAGGAAAATATATATATACATTGTGCCTGCTTATAATTTCAAATTTAAAATTAATCAATCACTTTTGATGGTAGATAATAGATACTTTGTATAAAAATAGTATAAATTTACATTTTCATTTGATTATAAATAGTCAATCAATTATGGTTAGTTAATTTATTTTTCTAACAATTACTATAAAAATCATTTCATGTTAAAAATAATTTTTAATTAATTAATTAATTATGTAAAGACAATACATGCTTACTAAACCTTTATTTTAATTAACAAAGGCTATGTTTTGTGTCTACATAATATTTATCACACAACAATAGATAAATAATAAAAAAATTAAATTAAATTAAATCAATATAACTTAATCAATTATATATTTGTTTTATCAATATTTATTATTATTTTATGACAACAATTAATAAATGAGAATAGTTTAACTCACTAGATAATTTATACAAAATTTTGTGATCTCATCCATAAAATAGTGAATTTGAGTTTAATTAAATCCTAGAAAATCGGTTTATAAGGAGAGGATTATTTTCCATTTATATACTATTTAATTGCATAATTTTTAGCCGATATAGAACTTGAATTTTTCTTAATACTCATTATTTCAATTGTAAAAGAAAATGAGAATAGTTTTCACATAATATGTATTGTATCGATTGTAAAAGAAAATGAGAATAATTTTCACATAATATTGTATGTATACATTAAATTTAAAAGACACGCTTTTTTAATAGTTTTACATTTTAATAATAATGACTAATCATTTATAAGTATTTTCTTTTTGGTAGTGTATCATTTATAAATATTATAGATATCGTCTAAATAAAATAAAAATAAAAATAAAAATAAAAGTATCACATGAGTTGCCTACATTGATGGTTAATTATTAACGATAAATGACTAAGACAGCTTTAAGTAAGATGATGTGAAAAATAAAATTTTTCAAATTTAATTAAATTTTTCCCCAATAATAGACATACAATTATGTATTCTATATAAGATTTCTTTTAGAAATTATTCTCATTGTCATTGAATTATATAATACATGTTTTCTATTTAGTGTCTAACAAACTCTCATGTTTAACAAAAAATATTCCTTGTTAATGAAGAAAAAAAAATTATTCATATTTGACCTATTGTTTAAAATCTACCACGTTAAACAAAATGATAAAAAAAAAATGTTAGTTTGGTGTATTGGACCATGTGAATATTATCGTTTGCATTAATAAAATATGTTCCAAAACGCATCATAATTTTTGTCACATTGGTTTGAATTTCAATATTTTTATAATTTTGATACATCATCTATACTATATATTTATTCTATACTTATATTATTTTATATAATTACTTTTTGTCTCTATTTTTTTAAATAATTATATTTTGAGAGAGTGTTTTTAAGGAATATTTTTCAATGAGAAGGAATTTCAAAGATTATCTTAACTTCTTATTTAATTGAATATC